AAAAAAAAAAAAAAAAAAAATTCAATTGTTCCAGGCAACAGGGGGAGAAGAGCCTGCAGAAAACTGGAGCGGTCAAGGGAATTGGAGTGAGAAAGGGCTTCTAGGGTAGTGGACGCCAACCAGGGTCAAGGCCAGGGCAAAAGGGTCGCAGGAAGCATTCAGGAATGACTCCTGTCCTTTCCCAAGCCCAACACCTTCCTAAATGGCGGGTACCACAGGACCTGGAGAGCAGGGGACTCCCTCTGGGGGTCACTGCGCACCCACTGTCTTCCCCCAGTCTCCAGGGCCTTAGGCCTGGGGGTACAAGAAGACCTGAAAAGAACCCCCACCCCACACACACACCATTTTAATTGGCACCTCTAACAAACCCCCCAAAGTATAAGAGGGCCTGAGTATGGCTAAAAAGGCTTGGGGAGTGCGGGATACGGTGGCTGTGCCAGCAGTGCCCCCTCCTGGCAATGCTCGAGACTGTCCGCGCTCAAGAGGAGAAAGGGAAACCCCATAAACTGTCAGTTTCAGATCTTCCTGATGTCGCTCACAGGCCCAGAGGGAGCAAAGCAGTTGTCGAGGTCACTTGGCCACTGCTTGGCTCAGAGGCTGGGCCGGGGCCAGGGCAACCTGGCCGGCTGCCTCTGGTTCACTGCGGCTTCCGGGTACTGAGTCAGCACCTCGCCTCCCTTTGTGTGAATGCTCAGGACCCCAATGACCCCACTCGGGCTACAGCCAAGTTCCAAGATCCCGTTGTCCTTTGGTGTCTGTCTGGAGTTGTGGGCTGGACAGGACGCAGCCCCTTCTCCCACCTGAACCCCTAAAGGAGAGACAAGCCCTTGGGCAGAGGAGGAAGAAGGGTGCAGGGGGCCTCCCAGATCACAAGGGTGGGGACCACAGACCTCCCCAACGTACAGGTTTTTGCTCTTTCTCTTCCGGGAGGCTTCGTCATCGTCCCCGACTGTGTCGGCCCCACTCATCTGTGGAGAAAAGACAGACATGATACAGTCTGCGCATCCAGGGGCTGCTGACCAGGCAAAGAGAGGCTCAGAGACCAATAGCTCCTGCCACCAGCCCTCCCATCCCCAAAGCCCCCACCCTCTGCACACAGGTGTGGGAGGGAGACCCCACTACTGGAAGCAGCCTGCCTGCCCTGGAGCGTGATGGGCTCGGCAGAGCCTCCAGTCCAAGGGGTCTTCTGGTGCATCTGGGAACCCGGCCTGCTGGGGAGAAGCCAGAGACAGGACACTCAAGACAGAAGCATCGTTGCCAGCAGTGAGGCAGGCCGGAGGACAGGGCTCCAGCCGGGCTTATGCTGTGGGACTCGGCCATCGCTGCCCCTCTCTCTCTGAGCCTCTGTTCCTTGATTTCTAAGGATCATAATGATCAACTAGGGATTCTGAGGTTTGCTAGGATTGGTCAACAGCGTGTAAAGTGAATCACTATGCAGGCCCCGGGAGCATCTCTCTCGCCTTACAGCTTTCCATGGCTCCCTAGTGCCCTCAGGATAACATCCAAGTCCCATAACATGACAGGGTCTACCACTTAGGGGCGGGGCAGAAAGTTCCATTTTAACAACTTCTTCAATTCTTTCTCCAGCCTGACCCCTGCTCCAGCAACCTCCTCAACTCTGCCTTCCAAACAAATGGAATGTCTTCATCTGCCTGGGGGATGCTTTTGTGACTCCCCCATCTCCTTCCTTCCTAAGACCCAGCTTCAGGTGAGACCTAAACCGCAGGTGAGCAGCTTAAATACCTCCTCCTCCGGGATGTCCTCCCTGATCCCTAGAACAAGGTTGTGCCCCCTTCGCCTCTTGTGAGGTTCCCACCACACCCAAAATGGCCTGTTCCAAATCTGTCTCTTCTGCTTGGCTATAAGTTCCCAAGGGCAAGACCTGTCTGTCTGGGTCAACTTCACAGGGCCTAGCACACTTAGAAGCTCAAGAAATGAGTAAGTAGAATAAGTGAATGGGTCAAGAGAGAGAGAAAGCAGACTAGGAAGATAGCCTTGAAGCCCTGGCTGCCCGATCTAGGGCCTGCCACTTACTCCCGGGTGCTCCACTACAGCCCACCCCACCTCCTTGCCTTTGCCTGTGATGTGCCTCCTTCCTGGAATGCCTTCTGTCTCCTCTCCTCCAGGCTACTCCAGACTCCCGCCATCTCTGTTAGGGCTCCCCCTCGGTTTCCCTTGCCCTGCCTGGGTTTGTGTCCTCCTTCAGAGGGCCCCAGGGCCCCAGAGCTACCCAGAGCAGGAGCCCAGGAAATGCTCCAAGACAGCAGAAAAGATAGACCTCAGAGTAGGATGGGCGTGAACCTATTCCCAAAACAGGACAGAAGCCCAGCAGGGGTGGATCTCAGCTCTGACTCCCCATGAGACCCACCTCTGTTTCCTCCCTTGTCAAATAAAAAAGATGGACTAAGCTTTAAAATGCCGTGTTCTTAATTCTGGAAAGAAAAGTGGTCTTGTTTCAGATATAGCCAGCAGGGGGAGCACCAGCCCAAGGATGGAAGGATGGATGGATGGATGGACAGATGATGGATGGATGGACGGATGAGGGATGGATAGATGGATGGATGGATGGATGGATGGATGGATGGATGGATGGACAGACGGACAGATGGACGATGGATGAACGGTGGATGGATGGATGGATGGATGGATGGATGGATGGATGGACAGTTGATGGATGGATGGATAGATGGATGGATGACTGACGAATTATATCTTCATTTATGGAGTTTATACTATACAGGCCAGACCCTGGAATGGGCATAATCCAGACACCATCTCATTAATCATCACAACAAATCCATAAAGTAAACGGAGGCTCAGGGAATTGAAATCACTAGCCCAAAGATGGCCAGCATTAAAGTGACAGAGCTAGAATGCACGGCCATCTGAACTCAAGACCTGCCTTTCTCCACCAGAGGATGCTGCTACTCAAATGCAAGAATAGAGCACATTTTAATGTTTCCAGTGGAAGACTCAGAGGAAATGCCGCCTCCTTCCCGAGAATGCTTCCCCACTAGAGTTGTAAACATACACGTGCGTACGTGCACACAGGGGCGCACACTATATGGCATGCTATTTCAGAACTAGGGTTTGGAGCCAGGCCTGAGTGTAAATCCTACTTCCAGCTACTTTGGAGAAGTCTCCTAGCCTCTCGGCTTCCCTTTGTTTAATGACAGCTTAGGCATGGTTAACAGTCACCTCCTGGGGCTGTTCCAGGATTCGCCAGGATAAGGGCTTGGCCCCATGGGTGCCCTCGGTAACCAGTGCTCACTGCCTGGAGAATGCTGTTGCTGTCACTCCAGTGCCCAGTCAGCTGCAGTCACGCTGGACTGGACAGGGTGAGGCAGCACCGGAGGCCCCCACCCGTGGGAAAGGGCCCTGGGGCCCTGGGCTTCCTCCCATTCTAACCTCAGCTTCCGCACTTTATCGGCCCCACACAATAGGCCTAGGGACCACTCCCACCCGCCGCTGCCCCAGCCTCTGCACTGCTGGGAAATGGGCTCTTCCTTCCACTGCTGGGAGTGGATCCTCTGAAGCAGGAACTGTCCCAAGCAGGGACTGCAGCCTGACAGAGGGGCTGGGCAGTCCTGACCCTGGGAGCTGTGCCCTCAGGACAGCCAGGGAAACCCCAGCACCAAAGGGGGCCTGCAGGCAGGGAAGAAACTGAGATAGAAAAATGGGAATTCTGATTCCCTGCCCTAGGGACTCCCCAAGCCTTCAGGGTGGCTTTGGCCTCCCACCTTGGAAGGGGCCCGAGTGGCCCCCAGAGCTCCTCCCTGCCACAACTGCACAGGCCTGCCGGGCCCAACCCAGCTTCTCTGCACTGACTCTTGCTCCATGACCGTTCCCTGCTGAAGGGCAAATGGAGGAGAGCCCAGAGCCACCCAGCCCTTCCTTCACTGCAGGCAGGAATCCCTGGGACCTGCCCAGCCTCACCCAGCCACCTCCAGCGACTGGGAGCTCACCACCTCTGGAAAAAATAATTCTAATTCTTGTTGTAATGATAACTATAATTACAATGGTAGTGATTAAGAGTGTAGATTTTAAGTTGCCTGGATTTGAATCCTAGCTCAGTCGCTTATTAGCTAATTGACCTTGGCTCAGTTCTATCCCTTGTCTATGCCTCAGTTTCTTTATTCATAAAACGAGAGTAAGCCAGGCTCGGTGGCTCAGCCTGTAATCCCGCACCTTTGGGAGCCTGAGGTGAGTGGATTGCCTGAGCCTGCGGGTTCGAGACCCGCCTGGGCAGCAAGACCTCATCTCTACAATAAATCAAAAAATCAGCCGGGCATGGTAGCGCATGCCTGTAATTCCGGCTACTTGGAAGGCTGAGGCGGAAGGATCGCCGGAGCCCAGCAGGTCAAGGCTGCGGTGGCCGGGAGCGGCCACTGCACTCCAGTCTGAGCGACTGAGTGAGACTCCAACTCAAAAAAAACAACAAGAGTAATAACCGGACCTCCCTCCTAGGGCTGTTGTGAGGATTATGTAAATTAACACAGGTGATGTGCTCAGCATGGTGCTGGCACATGGCAGTGATCAATAACTCTCAGCCAATGTGGGAAAGGCCATTATTTATTGAGTGGTCACTACATGCCAGGCACTGTACTCAAGTGCTTTAACACATATCATCTCATTTAATCTTGGCAACTATTCTGATCAGCACGGGAGTTTTGACCTGCTCCATTTCCGACCTGGGCCAGTTCACCCCTCCTTAGGCAACCTGGTGGTCCCCCGCTCCCGGGAGGTCACCATATTGATGCCGAACTTAGTGCGGACACCCGATCAGCATAGCGCACAGTAGCCCAGAACTCCTGGACTCAAGCGATCCTCCAGCCTCAGCCTCCCCAGTAGCTGGGACTACAGGCACGCGCCACTGCGCCCGGCGAATCTTGGCAACTATTCTAAGAGCCCTCTCCTCCCAGTTTACAGCTAAGGAAACTGAGGCCCACAGCAGTTTGGTAACTGGCCTGGGCTCTCTGAGCGGGCAAGTTGCAGAGAATTTCGGGTCCTGCTCCAGAGCCCAGCAGTGACTGAGGGCTCTTCTGTAAGCAGGGCCTCGGCTGGTTTCCCTATTGGTTCTGGTCTGACTTCTGGGGTCACCTGGCCATGCACGGCCACCCTCTCTGGCCTGGCCCAGCCTGGAAGGCCCTATAGAACCACGTGGAAATGGTGGATCTAAACTCTATACTGTCTAGTTTACACATGGGAAATGATTCTTCTTTAGGCTTTTTAAAAACAGGAGACTTGAAGGTGCTATCATGTTTTGGAGCTGGAAAGTAGTTTTGGGGCCATCTTGTCAACCTTTGACCTAAGCAGAAGCTTAGTGCAGCAGGATGGCATCCTGTTGATTGACAGTCTCCACCTAAGCCGGTCCCCCTCAGGGGAGGAAAAAAGCCTGGCCAGGGAGGGCCACAGCCTGTGATCTACTCACTGTCACACAGTGGCCCATGACCCCTTGCTAAGCCAGACCAGGCTGGGGTAGAATTCAATGACCGCATCCTGGACCCAGACACAGAATTTACTCTCTGGGCCTTCCCTAGTTTCCCAGGAAAAAGGCAGGTGTATGGATCTGCTCTGCTGGGCCTCCAGGGAGCAGCCAGAAAGGCAGGGGTCTGGCAGCAGGGGGCACCATGAGACTACTCAACTCAGCACAGGAGGCCAGCCCCAGTGGCTGGCCCACTGGCTAACCCTCGCAGGGGCCTTCCCATCTGTGAGATGGCCACAGTCAAGCACACCATCTGTCTGGTTCTAACGTTCCCACTCACAGTAGAAACAGCTCCATGCACAAGAGGGCAGGATGACAGAGGTGGGAGAACAGGGCAATGTCAGGACTGCCTGCCACTCTGTGGCCAGCGGTACATGCCCTGAGCAGCCTCAGCTTATCCACCCAGCAGCATGGATGACCAGCCAAGGCCACGGTGCCGAGCTTTCTATGTACTGTGGCCCTGAATCCTCAGGACAGTTCCAGGAAGACTTCACGTCCCCATTGTATAAGGGAAAACTGAAGCTCAGAGAAAGAAGCAACTTGGCCAAGGTCTCAGAGCCAGGAGACAGAGCTGAGACTTGAACCTGGTTCTGTCTGACTCTATAGTCTGAAGACTTCACCTCTCTCCCACACTTTTTTTTTTTAAGTTGGATTCTCACTCTGTCACCCAGGCTAGAGTGCAGTGGCACGATCACAGCTCGTCGCAGCCTCAATCTCCTGGGCTCAGGCCTCGCCCTCAGCTGGGACTACAGGCCTGCAACGCCACAACCAGCTAATTTTTTTCATCTTTGTAGAGGTGAGGTCTCACTATGTTGCCCAAGCTGGTCTCGAACTGACCCAGTCTCCTCCTCAACTCTTCCCTGGCATGGCCAACCTGTCAGCACCACCTGACCCTCCCAAGAGAACCAGGCCAAAGGCAGGAAGATGAAAGTCATGGCAAACCTGCTGCCTCTCCTCTTTCAGCCCCCTATCCCCGGCCCTGCATCAGCATGGGGTACTCAGGGCCTCAAGTAGAGTCACAGAAGCCTGGACAAGGGCGAGGCCATTGTCTAGCTCCGTCATGACTCGCTGGGTGGCTGGGGGTAAAGCACTTCTCCCAGCCTCAGCTTCTCACTGCAAGATGAATACTAGTCCACCTTGCCACAATGCTAGGAAGGTGAGGAAAGGGGTAAGGTGGTACCCTGTGAATGGCAGCCTAACTGGTACTACTCTTGCTACTGCTGTCCTTCACCTACTCCTCTTCCTCCTTGTCATGTGAGTACCGTTTACAGAGCACCTACCAGGTGCTGAGCACCAGGCACTGCCTTAAATACTTCACCTGCAACAAGCTATTTAATCCTCCCAGCAAACCTTGGAAGGAGGCATTACTACCATACCCATTTCACCAGTGAAGAAACTGAGGCTCAGAAAGGGGCAGGGACTTGCCCCAGGCTCACTGCCAGTGAGAGACAGGGACAGACCAGGGCTTGTCCAGTCTAGGTTTCATCTCCTCTCGACAGGAAGGTTGGGGGATGGGGAGGGTTTTTTCTGGAGCTGGCTGGCTGGAGGGAGCAGGATGTAAATGATGAGGGGCTCAAGGCCTGGCAAGTAGAAGCCACATGGAAGGACAGCCGACGCCAGGCTGCATGCAGCCGCTGAGGTCCCTGCCAGCTCAGCAACACAAACCTAGGAAAGGAAGTAACAGGCCAAAAGAGGGTGGGGAAGGGAGGGTGCCAGCAGGAACCCTGAACACCCAAAGGAGGAAGCCGAGACAGGAGAGAGCTGGTCCAGGTCTGCTGGGCTCCCAGGCGGAAGTATCTGTCCCCAAACAGGAACTGAGGTTAACTGCGCCAGGGAACTGGGCTGATAGGTACACATGAGTGTGTGTCCATCTATCGGTACATAAATATTTTTAGAGGGAGGGTGGGGGTGGGAATAGAACTGGTAAGGGTCCAGTGGGGGCATCATGGTTGGGAGGCCCAAGGCAGGTGGTGGGCCCCTGAATCTCAGGGCCCCTGAGCCTCAGCTGCCCTCCAGAGGGGAGTGGCTGGGCCGGATCCAAGTGACCCTGAGGCCTCACCTTGGTAGTACAGAGTTCCAGACTCTCTCCTGTGGCAGCTGCAGCAAGAAATGGCCCAAGAGGGTAAAACTCAAACTTTGGCAAGATCATAACCCCTGGGGTGGGGGGAGGGGGGACATGTTTCAAATGCAGGGTCTGAGCACCAGCCCTGGAAATTCTGATTCCTGGGTTCTGGGGCTAGGGACTAGGACTCATATATTAATTAATAATCTTCCCCTGGTGATTCCCGAGCACATCAAAGCCGGAAAACTGCACACGCTTACAGATAAGGACACTGAGACCCAGTCCCAATCCTTCTGGGAGCCATCCCAGTTCCTGAGCCAAAGTTCAAGGACCTTTTCTGAAGGGCCCCAGCCTGCCCTTCAGTACAGGGTGTCCTCCCAAATGCCAAGTCTGCCTTATTGGTAGCGGCGAAGCTCAGTAGGCTGCTGAGGCCACACCCCAACTTGGTGAGGAAGTGTGCTGGCATCCACTAGTGATGTCTGCCACAGGTTTGGAGTGAGGAATGGCAGTACGAGTGTCATGCATTGGCCATCCCCACCCTTTAGGACTCCCCAGTATTAGCCAAAGAATGCCTGCCTCATCCTTGCTGTCTAACCCTGCTCAACCTTCAAGGCCAAGCTGAGGGGCATCTTTCTCTGCTTTCCCTGATGGCCCTAGGCCTTCCTCCTGAGGTCTCTCCTCCTGAACTTCCAGATCTCTGAAGGCCATGTGCACTTCATGGGCACTGACTGCCTCCACCACTTGGCCTCCCCACAGTTGCCATACCAGCACCCTGCACTGGCCATTATATAAGAAGGCATGGGGACCAGCATTCCCTGACAGACGGCACTGACACGGCTACTTTGCCAGCCACCAGCCTCTTCTGGATCACCCTCAGCCACCCTAGGACATGAATGCTGTGAACCCCTTCTTTTCGGGGAAGGAAACTCAGGCTCAGAGGAGCTGAGCAACTCAACCAAGGCCAGGCAGTGAGTAAGAGACAGAGCCCAGACTCAAAATGTCTGGTGGGCCACAGTGCAATCTGTTCACTGCTAGGCCACATTCAAGGCCCACACAGATAACTCATTTCTCACAGACTGCCTCACATATCTCTGTGGCCCCTGCTAAGGCACAGAGCACAGGGCACAGGACCTGACACACAGAAGGACTCGATAAACACTTGTTTTATCTATTCATAAATATTTGCAAGAGGCAAATAGCATGGTGTTTAAGAGCACTAGCCCTGGAACCAGATTCTAATTCTGGTTCAGACATTTATAAACTATGTCACCTGGGGCAAGTTTGATAACCTCTCGATGCCTCAATTTCCTCATCTGTAAAATGGACACCAAAACACTATTTCATAGGGCTGTTGTGAAAATTAATAAGTCAGTATAAACTTCTTAGAATAAACAACTTATTCTGCTGGTACAGAATAAATACAAGTTGTCATTGCTATTGTTGGCTGATGGATTTCTAGTCTGGCTAGACCTGGAATAGATCTAAACCATAACGCTTTATTTCTTCAACTACCATCTCCGATCTTTTAAATCCAAACACCCAGTGGCCCAGGCTCTACATGTGCTCTACTTTCTGTGGAAACCTACAGTAAAATGGGGCTATAATATCACAGCATCTGGTGTCCTAAAGTCATGGGTTTGAGTCTGGGTTCTGCCTTCTTGGTCCCTCCAGGCCTCAGTTTTATCTTCTGTCAAATGGGTAGAAGGTTCACTGGGCAGCTTACCAAAGGGCAGAGATGGGACAGGGTGATTGCTGGATCCCTGCAGCTCCTCGGCCCACCCTCCCCCCATTGCCTGTACCCCCACTCCCTCCCCCTTTAGTCCTCTCACCTTCCTGTGTCCTGTGAAGAACAGGGAGAGGTGGTGCATGGAGCCACCATTGCGGCCCAGTTCCTTCTTGAGGGTGCGGGGAGAAGGCATGGCCCAGGTGGACGTAACGCCCTCGCCATCTGAGCAGTGCAAGGTGGTGTCGGAGGAGAAACAGGGCCCACGGGCCTCCTGCAGCAGGCTGCCCTCGCTGTGCGTCCGGCGCCGCAGCGAATTCTGCACACGCAGGGAGAGGCCGCCCTCGGCAGCCTGGCCTGTCTCGATCATGCTGCTGCGCTTGGCCTCACTGCGCCCTCCATAGTTGTCATCACTTGTGTCCTCATCCTCGTCCTCCTCCCCTTCCTCCCCCTCTTCCCCTTCCTCAGCCTCTTCTGCATCCTCCTCATCAGCTGAGCTGCCCCCCTCTGCCCTTCCCTTCTGGCTGTAGGCACTATCTAGCCGGACCTCCGGAATCACGAAGGCCGGCCTGGAGGCCACGGGCAGGTCCCCAGTGGCTGCTGGTGGGTCCCCAGAGCTTGCAGTCTCCTCAACAAGGGCCTCGACTGGCAGGGAGACCTGGCTGGGAGGCAGAGCTTGACGGGGGGGCAGGTCCTGGGCCGGGGGCTCCTGGATGACGGGGAGGTCTTTGCTGAGCAGAGGGTCCTGGCAAGGAGGGGGTTCTTGACTAGCAGGAAGGTCCCGGCAGGGTGGGAGGTCTTGGGCTGAAGGGGGTTCCTGGCATGGTAGAGAGTCCTTGCTTGGTGGGGCTTCTGAGCCTGGAGGGGCTTCTTTGCACGTAGGTGAGTCTTTGCTGGACAGTGATTCTTGGGCAGGAGCGGGTTCTTGCCCAGAAGAGGAGTCCTTTTTGGGTAGAAGCCCTTGTCCTGGAGGAAGCTCCTGGCCAGGAGAGGAGTCCTTGCTGGGAAGGGAATCTTCGGCACCTGGCACCTTCCCTTCTTCCAAGGGCATCTCCCTCTTCTCATCTGCCTCCGTCTTAAACATCTGGAAAACAAAACGAAAACAAGAAAACTTCAAATGAGATGTCAGCCACCACACACAAGCCAACGCCACCGAGGCCGACAGGAAACCAGGCAGTGGCCTAAATCCCATACTCCCCAGGTTGAAATCCAGAGTGCCAGATGGAATGCCGTAAGCCCCTCTTGTTAGCTGCGTGAGGGTCCACGCCCTTGTCTCTTGGTTGAACTTTCTGCTCCAACAAAACCATGGCTGGTCATTTAGGAGAGAAGAGGGAGAGCTAACTACCACTCATCTAGCTCCCGCTGTGTGCTAGGTGCCATGCCAGCCTGAACCCCCTTTCTCATGTGACTTTCCCAACAGCCCAGTGAGGCAAGTATCACTGTCCCCATTTTACCAAAAAGGGGACAGGGATGAAGTGGCCTCCGTGAGTAAAGTAGAGAAGCCAGGCAATCTCTGCTCAAGGAACAGAACCAGCCAAGCCCCTCAGCCAGGACAGGGTATCTGCTACCTGAACCAAAGGTTAAAAAAATCCTAGTGAGTCATTTCAACAAGAATGTGCTCTGAGTGTTTAAGTATCTTTTTGAGACTAGTAAACTAGAACCAAACCAGAACTTTAAATATTGCCCACACCTGGACTCACCAGATGTTACAGACACACGGCACCTCCCTGGAGGATCCCCCACACCGGGGTTTTTAAACTGCTTGGAGGAAACTCAAAGATTCCTGCCATACACACACTCTTTGGAATCCTAGGAGTTTTTGCTGAGTTTTGATGGTAAAAACATAATATCCTTGATGGAAGTCTGGAAAGCAGTACCTCACAACAAGATTGGGGTCCAGAGAACATCCAGAGTGTTCGTGGTGCCACAGCCACACAAGGGAAGCAGGTCTCAGGCCTGTGCTGGGCCCCTCACATTCAAGGACTAGAAATGTTGGAGCTAGAGCTCTTTAGAGCTCAGGTTTGTTTTTGTTTTTTGTTTTTTTTTTGAGTTGGAGTCTCACTCGGTCACCCAGACTGGAGTGCAGTGGCCGCTCCCGGCCACCGCAGCCTCGCCTGCTGGGCTCCGGCGATCCTTCCGCCTCAGCCTTCCAAGCAGCCAGAATTACAGGCATGCGCTACCACACCCGGCTGATTTTTTGATTTATTGTAGAGATGAGGTCTCGCTGCCCAGGCGGGTCTCGAACCCGCGGGCTCAGGCAATCCACTCACCTCAGCCTCCCAAAGGCGTGGGATTACAGGCTGAGCCACCGAGCCCGGCTTCAGGTTTTATCCTTTAAGAAGCCACAGCCGCCAAGAACTACTGAAAGAGAAAGACTCCTCACACACCCCGGAACTGTTCAGATGTGTGGAAATGTGTGTACTCACACATGTGTACACACACACATGCACATGCCAGTGGAGAATTTCAGGGGTAAGTACCCACAGAACATAGGCTAAGAACTCTCATTGTAGAGACCACTAACATCTATTTGATGGATGAGAAAACTGAGCCCACCAAGCAGTGACTTCTCCACTGTTGCACAGCTGCCCTGGCACGAAAGTCTTGCCTGAAACTGAGAAGTCATGGAAGCCCTGAGAATCTGCGACGGTGAAGCCCACAACTGGGAGCAAGAGACCAGTCATGGTGTGGGGTGGCTGCCGCCTGCCCCACACACGTGTCGGGGGTCACAGCAACACCTGAGAGCACCAGAGGGGATGTGAAAGTACAGTGTGTATAAGAGCCCTGCCTGGGAGCATGAAAGTGAAAGCAGAGTCCTGTGCATGGGGAGGACAGGTGGGCTGGGGAGGGGAAGCCTTAGAGGCCTCAGGGATGATCTGGCCAGGGTCAAGAAGGATATGCCTTAGGCTCTGGTTCCCAGGCCAAAGACAGGTGCCCGATGACCCTGTGGCCTTCCTGCCAGCAGCTGGGAAGTGACCACCCAGGGACCCCTCAGATCTCATAGCATCAGTCTTTAAAACATCAGCAATTCCAAATCCCCACTGCACAGATAGGAAGGCCGAGACCCAGAGAGGGGCAGGGGCCAACCTGCAATCGCACAAGTAGGGCAAGTCACTAACCCTCAGGGCCTCAAGGTTTCTGCCTATGAAATGGGATAACCAATGTGCCCAAGTGACCAGCCAGGAGCACATACCATAGAAAGTGTGCAGTCCCTAAAGGAGACGAGGACGGTGGCGATAGTAATGGTGACTGTAAAAATGGATCTAGAGGGATATTCTGAAGTCAAGGACCTCAACAAGGGACACGTCTTTCCCATGTGCCCCTAGAAGCAAACTCGGCCAAACACCCAGAGTCCAATTTGATCGTTGTAATGCCAGGCCACCCAGTCCAGAATTCTAATCTGAAAACTAAGGGCTATGCGTCAGTCCTATCAGGCTGTTCCCAGGTGAAAAGAAAGACCCTCCACTGAGCGGACAAGAGGACTGAAGGCCCAGCCTGCCACCCTGCACAAATCAGGGGCTAGGCTAGGGCTAGAGCCCAGGCCTCTGGCTCTGTTCTTCCCGAGCCCACTTCTGATCTTAGTCTCATGAGCAGCCCGGTCCCCAGCCTATCACCCTACCTATCAGGAGACAGTCTCCATCAGGAAAAACAAACTTCCCGCAGGCTGCCCCCTGGGCCCCACATTTGAATCACCCTCCCCAGTGACCAGACTGCCCCTCATTCCAGCCACCTGCCTCTGAGAGTCCTTGGGGAAAGACGGAAGGAAGCAGCAACCGGGTGCCCTCAGGGCCTGGCACGGAGTGGTACTGAGAGGGGAGCAGGCCGCATTTCCCCTTTCCTGGGTGGTGGGGGTGTGGCCCAGGCCTGTCCCAGCAGTGACTGGGAGCCCGAGCCCGCCCACCCCTCGGGGAAAGTGCAGCAACAAACCCAAAACCAGAAGTGCAAGTCAGCCTGCCTCGGCCAACCCTGTTCTAAACCCAGGCCAAACCAAACAAAGCCTGGAGGGGAAGTGCTGCCCAGGCTGGGGTGCTGTCCCCAGAGGGATCAGCTGTGAAACCACCCGGGACTGAAGGGCTCTCAGAGTGCCCAGCAGTTATGTGCTCGGATGCCCAAGTCAGACTGATTTTGATCCCAGTGGAGCCTCCTTCTCGCTGTGCAACTCTGGCTAAGCCTCCCAACGCCTCGGAGCCTCTGTTTCCTTATCTGAAACAGAGTCCGGTGATATCACACTGGACTCACAGGGCTACACAGCGCCTGGCCCAGGAAAAGCACTGGATATAATGGGAGTTATCAGTAGTCTCATCTTACTTTAAAGATGGGGAAGCTGAGGCCCCGGGGTGTAAAGGAATTACCTAAGAAATGAAAGGCTGATGCAGCACTAGAACTTGTGTCACCTGTCCAAGGTCTCTCCCTATTTCCTTGGACCCTTATACACAGGGGCTCTCAGAGGGATCTAGAGAAAGGGAGGGCAGGCCGGGATGGCTGCCTGAGGCCCCTCCCCTGGGCCATTCCGGCAAACAGCCCACAGCTCACAGGTTGTTTTCCGTGCTCCCAGGCAGGTTCGAGTGAGCTGTGACCGACCAACTGACCAACCGAGTGTAGGTTTGGTCAGGCCAGTATTCTTGGGAGCCCAGAGCAAGTACAAAGAAGCTGAGAAACCCAGGGGTGGAGGGTGGCAAATGCAGGAAAGAGTTGGGCAGAAGAGGAGAAACAGATAAGGGTCAGGTTGCAGAATAATGGTCGACAAGGGATTGCCCTGTGAGCAACAGAACACCAGAGGCAGAACTGTGCTGCCTCAGACTTGCTGAGGGCAGTATAGCAGGACATGTGAGTGGAGGGGAGGATTGGGCCCTGTGTGTCTTCATGCATTCATTTATGCTGGAGACACTGAGGCAGGTACAGGGGAACAGCAGGGAACAAGTCAGACGCAACCTCTGCCCTCAGTTAAGCAGAAAAAAAAGAGGTTAGACAACAGGTCTTAAGGAGCACAGTGAGTGCTCTGAGGAAGGAAGCGCAGGTAGCTGGGGACACCCAGGGAGGCAGCTGTGGCAAAGCGCTGGGGTAATAAGAACCAGTGCCAGAGTGCCCCAAAGGAACAAGGCTGCTCACCCAGGGCCTTGGGTCCAGAGTGCTGGACGCCACGGCCCCGCCCTTCTGAGGGGGGTCTGTGTCTCTCCCATCCATCACTTCCTTGGCTCGGCTGGACCCGGGCTAATTCTGTCCATGCCTTGCCTGCTAGAAGCACACAGGAAATGGACCAGGCCCACTAAATGGAGCCACTGTTCAGGATCTAATCAAATCCTCTTCCAAATCCAAACCAGAGCTCGGAGAAGGCCGGGGAAGGCCAGCAACAATGACACCCAGAGCTCCCACTCCTACCAGCAGCGGGATATGGGGGTGGTAGTGGGCAGCTGGAAGTGACTTGTCCAATGTCACACAGCTACTCACTACAGAGCGAGGTCTGCTGACCCAGAGGCAACCTGCAGCTCTTACTCCAATGACTCATCACATCTACCACACAGGCCGGGCTCAACATCTGTCCTCAAAACCACTTCCTGCACTGACGGGGTATAAACTGGGGTTTGTCTCTGTCTTAGGGTGGCCCTTACGTAACCAGGATTTTACAGAAAGAGCACTGGACATAAAGCCAGAAGACCTGGGGAGGAATCCTCACTCTGTCACTTGCTAGCTGTGTGATACTAGGCAACTACCTCTCCATGATTTTCTCTGCCATGAAAGGAGGTGACCTCCTGCCTCCTGCTCCAGAGAGCTAAGGGGGCCCAGGCTGAGGAAGGACAGGAAGGTGCTCTGTGAACTGCAGTGTCATCTGAGAAAGGGAGAGGCTCTTGGAATTCCTGCCAGCATCGGACCTCCAGGCCTGACTTTTGAGATGGATAGTTGTTGTTCAAGTGTGGCGCACTCTGGGTCCCCACTGTCCAGGTTCCTGGCTCGAGGCTGACTTCCAAGGACTTCAGCTGCTTGGCTGACCCTCAGCTCCCCCAGCCCAGTTTCAGCCCAGCTCCTCCAGGTGGGCTTCTTGATCACCTTGAGGCTGGAGCCCCCCCAGCCCTCCCAGCCCCTCCA